TCTTCAGTTAAAGGGAGTTTTTCCTCCCCACCGTCGCCAAGTACTTGCTCAAGGGGGCTTTGTTGGGTTTTCACTATGTAATAATATTGATAACAATAATGTCTAGACCTTACTCTATAAAGTGTCCTGAGATGACTTTTGTTGTGATTTGGCGCTATACAAATAAAATTTGATTTGACTTGATTTGACTAATTTAACCATTCATCCACCAATATGGCTTAACAGAGGCATACTTTCTCTCAGTGGCCTGCCTAAAAGATTGCTTAGAGATTATTATCTTTAGAGAGAAATGGCTGTAAATATGTTATGTAGCAAAAAAATCCATTACATGTGCCTGTGAGTAAAACAAGAGAAATACCCAAACGGCACAAAACTAACATGAAGAAACATCCAGTAACTCTGATGATAAAAATGAACAATCAGCAGATACTGTGAGAAAAAGTTGAATTAATATGGAAAATTAAGATAAGATAATTCTTTATTGTCATTGTAACACATACAATGCAATTTTAGAATGACCTCCAGTTGGTACAGCAATAAAATAAATAAATAACATGAAATAAAAACATAATTGTTGGCAGAACTGACATCACCTATCACCTGAGAGCAGCTGAGACGTGATATTTTGGAAGTTTTGGATAATGCCAATTTTTATTTTAGCACCAAGTGTTTAGTAAGAGTATAGGAGAGATGTTGCAGCTGGGTCTGTGAAAGTGCAGACGTGGAGCTGAGATGGGCCTGCTGCTGTCAGGTCAGGGACTGAGAGGGACAGAGTGGAGTCTCTGCACTGAACTCACAGTTAGTTGGTTGGTTGGTTTTAAACAGGCTGCTCCTCTGTCTCAACATCTGGCCTACTGTATAAGGAGATATACTGCCCAAAGGGGAAGGGAGGCCCCTTCTGGCCACATGTTTCACAATATTTTAAACCAGTACATGAAACTAGAAACCTGTATATTCTTAGACTGTGTTGACTACAGACATGCACTCTTCATGTTCCAAGAATTTAAATGAGACCAATAAGTGCATATTTATTTTAATCAGCTTCTAATATATTTGTTCATATAATCTGGCATGTAAATGAAGAATCATTAAATATTACATAGGAGTACACTTCAAGAATACATGAGAATAAAACAGGTCGGAGTGACTGTGCATACGAGCCCTAAGGTGCACACTCAGCTCCAGTTTGTGGGCTCATGGATGCATCTTTTATTCTGACAGCAGTATGAAGGCTCTCTGTTGGTTTAGTTTTTTGATGACATGGTTCCTATTCTCTGTTGTAGAGTTGTGGTATAACGACTGAGGGTGCAGGTTCAGATGGTGGTCATTAGTGTTTGCGCGCCCATGTCTGTTTTATCTCACATGTTGATCTGTAAGCTCTATTGGCTGTAAATCCTGCTATGGTGTTACTAGGATTGTCATTTGCTCACACTTTGGTACTCCAATAATGGCTTTAGGTTGAGCATTAAAAAAAAAAAAAAAAACATGCCTGGCGAGAGACTACCTGAAATTGAGATATGGATTAGGACCTTGCCAATTAAAGATCCTGACTGATCTGCATTTTTTGAGGGGAAGGGTTGGCGTACAAAGTTTTCAGTGTGGCTGTGAGACTGCGATAAAGGGCACATGGCCTTTTACCGGTGACTGATAACATGAGCTGGTTTTTCCAGTTTAATAATGTAGGAAAATGTGAAATTCCCATTGTGATACTTTGAATTTCCATCTCCCACTTCTGATAGCTGAAATATTTGTCCTGCTTCTGATCTATCAAAGCTTCTACTGCAAGCACAGTACCTTTTAAAAAAATTAAATGAGACTGATATATTCACAGATACCAACCAAAGGAAATGATTAGCAGGCCTTCTTCTCTGTACTCACCTTCATCTCTCCTTCTTCTATTACCAGCTGCCAGTTGGCATCACCGCCCACATCCTGAAGAGAGTACGTCATATGATTCTGCACCATTTCCTCCACCTATGAGACAGACAGGTATTGATTAAATTCATATGTTTGAGAGCCATGAGAGAAAGTCATCCTTTGAAATAGAACACAGTTCTGGGAAAGGAAAGGATCTTGCACTAGTCTAATGATTTATAGTCACACCTAGCACCTGTGCAACCAAATAAACGTTAAATGCATGCTCCTGCTTGGAGTGTTTTTCAACTTTCAACACAGCCAGCCTGGACTCATGCCTCCTTGTGCTGTGAGGAGAGGAGTAGGCAGAATTGAGGCTTCATCAGATTCCAGTCATGCAGCATTAGACCTTTATCAGCAGTATGATAATAACAGACAACCTGTCAGTCACTCCAGGTAATTTCTGTCAGGTTTTCAGCCTTAGTAGATGTAACAATACCAAAAACTCACAGCATGATACTGCCACGACAAAAAGTCCACAATACTATATTAATAATGTTATTAAAAATGAAGGAAAATAAATCACTAAATAATAAATCAGTGTTTGTTGTATAACATATTTAAAAGATAATGCAGTCCTTTTATGAGATAAAAGTATACATTACTGCAGCAGCTGGATCTTATAAATAAAACAAGTCACCCTCACAATGGAACATCAGTGTTTTAGTACCCCACTGGCAGGATTAACTATCTGTTTGGTGACCGTGCCGGCCAGTGGTCGGGTTCTCAGGAGGCTACTAGACCAGTTGAAGTGGGTATCCCCCACCCCCGACCACTGGGGTCAGTCATTGAAGACGACGTCAAACTACGACGAGCCACAAAAAGGTGAGATGTGTGCTTTACTGGAGGTGTTTGTCAAACACTGTGGTTTACTTTTTCAAGAAAAAAGGCTTTAATGTTGGTTACTAAGTGGTTGGTTTTGCATATGAGTGTCCATTTTGTTTGCCCTTCTCAGTTAAATCCGCTTGGTCAATTTCAAATTCTGCCACCAGCACACAGTTACCATCATAGTCCCATGACATTATTGGAGCATTTTTCTATTGTGATATTTAAATATCATTAAATCCCTACATAATGCTATACAGATTTTGATGTAAAAAGCTAAACCAAACATCCTACTTAAAAGTGCAAAAATAAAAAACAAACATTTGTGAAATCCTGGAGAGACTGGTTGGTAGACATTCTCATGCTCTCTGCTCATGCTCTCTCTGACGGCAGTGAAATGTAGGCATTTGCATCTCCCTACAGATGACCTACAGGTGCTCTCTGCAGACCATACCTGAGAGCTGAATCTGTGAATGTCATCTGAAGCACTGACTAGCTCAACAGAAAACAGGGAAGAAGAATGGCTATGAGGCTGTACAGCAGAAAGAGGGTTAAAAGAAAAAGAAATAAAGAACAAAGCAGGAGGAGGCACCATTGCAGCAGACCACAGCACAGAGCCTGCTTAATTAGCATTTAATGTGCGGATGTTATGTAAGCTTTTGAAATACTGCAATAAACACATTGATTCTCTATGTGAACAGAATAAGGTGAATCATGAACCCATTGTGAGGGCATGTTACTAAACCAAAAGGCGCAGCGTTTTAGAGGCAGGTTACACTGGTTGTAAGCTGGCCAGGATTCAAACAGGATGGATGAGTTGTAGAGAAAAGGAGCAACTTGAAGCATTACATTAGAACTAAGCCAGTTGGAAATAAATGTGTTGAGCACCTTGTTGGCAAATCGGTGTATACCAGGGGTGGCGTAGACATCTCCAGGAGGAACTGGCGTTAGCCGAGGTATTCTGACCTTCTCTGACTGGCACTGAGGGACACCGAGTAAGGGGTTGTTAACAGACAACATGAAGAAACAGTAAGTGATTTTACCAGAGCCACATTCAATATGCCTTTAAGACCAAATATGTCGATGTTTTATACATCCATCTTTGTGTAAAATAGAGCAAATGTAGATCTGCATCACACCTGCTCCTCCATCTTGTCCTGTCTGTCCAGTGCAGCTTCCACTGCATCAAAGAACTCGTCTTCATTGATCAGGCTGTTGGGCCCCTCCTGTGATGAGCCGACAACAAACAAACATCGTCAGATTTAGAGAAATCTGCAAGACCAGCGCCGACCAAGGTGCAGAATGATAGAAATGCACAATCTGGGACACAGTGGACAAAGTCAATAGCTCATTCTGCTGTGGTTCATCTAGCTGCTTCTAATCCATTTATCTGATCCGAGTTCAGCTTACCTCATAGTCTGGGCCTCCGTAGTGTGACTTCTTCTTCAGCTCATGCATGGCAGACTTGTAGGCATCTTCTGCCCTCCTCCTCTTCTCCAGCTCCTGCACAGAGAAAGAGCAGTGCAGTATGGTTAGTACTGAAACAATAAGAGAGTCAGGCAATATCTTGGCCTCAGTGACAAGGCTCCTTTCATCAGTTTACAGCTGAAAAAGAAGCTGAAAAAGAATAAGGAGAAAACAGAGGTCTGCATATCACAGACAGACAAACCCACCATGGTTGGTCGCTGTGTGCGAACTCATACAAGTTTTATTTAAAGTCTCCCTCCTTGCCAGAGGAAAATAAACACACTTCACACAGATGAACGCAAAACAGACTGTTGCCTTATCAGCCAACACTAAATCTATTATTTTAAAAGCACAGGAAACAGCTGGTCTTCTTGTGAATGAATCAAAATACATTAAAACTTGCTATGTAGACTTAGCTCTGCTGAAACCACTCAACAACTCTGCACAAAAAAAAAACCCAGCTCTGATTTCAGACACAATTTATCCACCCTGCAATAAGAGAAAGAAACTGTGGCTAAAAGTATACTGTAACATAGAACAATAGAGTACTCCACAAAACACTTCGAGGGAAACCAGAAAAAAAGACAATTAAATCAAACAAAACGTAACTGAGAGTGTGGACATCAAACGCTTGCCACAAAATAAAAATGAGCTGATCCTGTTGTCTGCTGTGTGTAACCAGACAACCAGAGACCTACTGTGAAGAAGCGGCTGCAGGTCTGTAGAGGTATCCATCTGGTCTGGTATTTGCGCAGGTCTGCCCTCCTTTTTAGTGAAAGATTCCACAAACTGAGCGAAGTCTGAGCGGTCATTTTCTAATTCCCTATACAAGTCTGAGCAGGCGTTTCCAGTTCAGTATGTGTTCTCTACCTATTTTGTAACTCCCTACTCCACACCAGCAGCTTCACTTTACACATATAACCAAACATAGATAAGAACGAGGCACTTTTACTCACGTAGTCTAACTAAATGAAAAGACTGCCCGGCTTTTTTAAGTTTTAGGGTTGGGCAGTATGCATTTACACACAGCAGAAAAAACAGAAACTGGTTTGACAACATCAGCTGAGCTGAGCGGACCACAGTGTAAGAGGAGCTCTGACGAGCGCATTTTTACACACACAGCACCCATCAGATAAAGCTAAATCAATGCATGGAAGACGAGCTTCAATTCTAAAATAGAAAATCATCAAATAATACAAGGGTTAAATGTCATTATAGGCAACAGGTGAATTTGTGCTCCTTGTAAGAAACCCGACTCTTTGACTAAAACCTTTATGTTCATATAGCTATTAATGGAACATTTACATCCAGTAAGAATGACAGTAATCTGGACTATGAACTCTGAGCCCAGTATTTTTAATGCTGACTAAGCACACGCTCTCCAACACCTTCTTGCTTTCCAGCTGAACAGGGCACTCTATATCCAATTATTATTATTATTAGATTGTGAAATGGCTTGTTCAAAGGTGCCTTCCATTAGGACACCTTAACATGTGCCACAAAAAATATATCAAGAGAACACAAACTAAAACAGAGTAAAAAAAAAAAGGTTATCAAGTACATATGAGGAAATAAATATGAACTCACAGATATCAAGACTAAACAGATTTAAACAAACATCTATGTCAAACCTTGCATAGCCAAGAGAGAGATAAAGTGCCATGCCTAATAAAGGGAGTTACATCCTAAGGAACTGAGACAAGTCTAACTTGTTCATTCATATAGTTTTTATTTAAAATAGTGTATTTTAGGTTAAATGCATTTCAGAGCCAACGCCATTAAACCACTTCCTAGTCTTTCCAAAACAACCACTGCATCTTTTTAAATAGTAAGTTTTCCATCGACTTAACTATCAACCTGGATAGCTGTCTGTTTTGTACAACCATGGCTAGACACCTGGACTAACCTCTTCACCTGAAGGACAGACCCCAAAACTCGAAATTCTTGGACAATGGAAGGCAACAAATAGCCCCCCAGTCACAGCAGTGGCTGCTGACCCACCCACTCAGGAAACTGCTTATTATTCACAAGACACTTCACACACTGTGAGTGACATTTGTTTTAATCGCTACATGTGGTGTGTGTGAGACTGTACCTTGTCCAATCTCTTCTGCCAGCTCTCCTCTCGTTTGACCATCAGTTCGATGCAATGGGACAGTGTAGAGAGGATGCCTGCTGTGGTGGCCTTGAAGGTGATGGCCTCACCCTTAAAGTCTATCCCGTTGATACCTTTAGGACTGGCAGGGGAAAACACTGGCACAGAACAGACACAGTAAAGTAACTAATGTGACAGCTGCCAGATGGCTTGATTAAAAATAGGCATTCTAGCTGTTCAGTTATTACCAGGCCAGGTAACCAAAATGATTTTTTTCCAAATAACTTCTCAATAATTATCTGCAATAATTAACTCACATTTCTCTTTGCTGCCATTGTTGTTGTGACTATATTCACTTTCAGGTCTTGTAGTGGTAGGAAAGTCATCTTCATCCTCCTCGACTGCTGGCAAGAAAACAACAGCAATTTTAAATCTATCTACTATTTATCTGTTCTGTTAACCAAATGATCATTTATCAAATTATATTATACACCTGGACGTATAGCTACTAGTGGAAAGTTTAAAATTTTCAAACCCATTCAACAAGAATAATACGCATTTACATCCTCAGAATTACTTAATTTATAGCCCATAAAAATGTTAAACTACATGTTCATGTAACCTAAATCAGAGAGCATGTTCATTATGACAGTGATTTTGAAGGCTACAGAAAGTTTTTGTTTCAGAAATTAAACAATGCACAAAGTTCACTTTCTCACTGAGTTTTAAAACAGAACCAACCTAAAACAAATATAAACATATTTAAACTGAATCTCTGACACGACATAAGCTCCACATTAGAACATTAATGCCACAGGTTACCTCTGTCTCTCTGAAATTCATCTTTGGAGACAGCATCAGCACAAGAGTCAAAGTATTTCTGCAGGGTGTCCACTTGTCTGCACAGAATATCCCGGAATGTTTCCATTTCTGCTAGTTTCTCACGCAATCTGTGCCCCTTCTGAGCAGAGAAAGATAGAAGTAAAGACATGCAAATAACAGAAAAATGACCTGAATGTCATCACAAGAAACTAACACATACTGTTAATTCTTAACACTAAACATATAGCTAAGTAGATTCAGACATGCCTTTTTATATTTGGCCTGTTAGTATATGTTAGCATGGTCTGCTAACATGTCTTGTAGCAACTTCAGACCATGTTTTTTACCTTGAAGGAGGATGTTGACGTGGCAGACAAGGCACTGGCTGCAGAGGTGAGAGACAACATGGACCCATGACGCCTCAGACTGGTTTCTGAACCATAACCAGACTCAGCCTGCAAGCCAGACAAGGGACAGAAAAAGAGAATGGAGGAGAGAGTGGGTATGATTAAGAAGAGAAGCAAAGACAGAGGAGGACAAGATATATGGAAAAAAGGAGAAACAAAGAGAAGGGAACAGAAGATAAGTGTATAGAATACATTTAACATTCTGTGATTTAATTACTCATCAAAACTAGATGGACACAAGAGAAAGAGGGAGATCCATTTTAGCAGCCAACAGCACTGAGTAACGCTGAGCTGGACTAGGGAAGGACCTGCACCTACACAAACAAACAATCTACTGAGAGGGACTGGGGCTGACAAACAGACACATGCATCAAACCAGCCAGTAACCCGACACCAGGTGGTTGAGAAACAGTGGAAATTAATTACAGTCTCCCAAAATGGACAGATCTAGGCTTGACTGCGGCTTTCTGGGGGTAAATACTGAATTGCAATATGCAGTGTACTGTCTCACATGGATTTATAAAGCAGACCTATGACCGGAGATTAGGGTGTAGCAGTGACTGTATTGTATCCAGCAGCAAACCTACAGCTGGGTGACGCCTGGGAACTTTATTATGCAAACTATGTACACACACACCAGCAAACCCCGCCAAAGCAAAATAGACTTGTTTGCCTCAAATGCAGCTGTTAGACGGGGCTTTTGGGTACTACAAAACTATGTACTACAAAAGAGAGAGCAAATTCATGACCAAATATTAGAGCCCCGCACTTAAATTCATACATTTATTAAACCAGTGGAAAGAGTAATGTGCAGCCAGAGCTAGTTAGGTGATGCTACATAAATAATATGGTATAAATTAAGTTTGAAAAGTCCTTCAAAATTCTCATTTCGTACACGCAGTGACATGCAATAGAGTTTGATGATAAAGCCAGTCCATCAGTGCTCTTAATGTTTACAACAGCTTGCATGCAAATAAAAAAAATTATTTATGCATTGTATGGAGAAGGGTAACGATGGGTCGTGTACAGTTATCATTCATGTCATGACTCTGGCACAGTAATTAAAGAATTCAGCGATGAGTGACAGTGAGCAAGAAGCATACAGCATGCTATAAAGCCCACCATTCGGCCATTCCAACAGCCAAAACAGAGTAGGACACTGCTGCAGCGCTGGCGGTTTACTGGCCCCAACATGGCCCAGACACTCCCACAATACTCCCAACGTTCTGACAATACAGAGGCTTTAATCCAGTATTCCTGTTTCCTTGGACACACCTCACTGAGGAACAAAAGAGTAGAGGAGGTGGTGGACAAGAGAGGCCATGCATGCTCAGCTTAGCTTGTCTATTAAAAGAAAGTGGTGATAAGAGGAAAAAGAGGAAGAAGAGAAATCAGTCACTGGCTCCATAACAGTCTGAGGAGAGGCAGACACTAGCTGCCCCACTCAGTAGAAGAGATGGACTGAGCCAAAAGGAAGAGTCTTGTAATTCCCTGGCAGAGTGAAACGAGTCTGCTCTCAGTCAGTTCCTCTGCAGACACATGAACTCAAAGAGACATACGTACATGCGCTCCAATCGTACTGCAGACATATATCAACAGACCACACACCCTGATATGTGAAACCTTTTCATCTTGTCCATATTTATATCCAGCATCCATCACTGAGCAAGCAATTGTGTGTGTGTCTGCATGGAAGAGAGAGAGAAAGAGAGAGAGAGGGGTAGAAAGGAAGGGTGTATGCAAGTATGCATTTAAGAGAGGTGCTGTCTGTGATGATCCACTAAAGTAGCAAATGGGTAGGCGAGTGAAGCAGCTTACTGTTCATCATAACAGAGAGAGAGAGGGAGAGAGGGAGAGTGGGAGAGAGTGGGAGGCAGAGAACAACATTTGTCTAGTTCTCCTGCTTTACATCTACCTGACTCTACTTTGCTGATGTCCCCTTGTGAAGCCTTATCTGGGCCAACAGTGTTCAGACAGTGCCAATAATCAGCCTGAAGAAGTGGTGGGAAAACTACAAATAAATACAGGGGTGTTTCCCCATTCCCTCCCATATCACCCCTCTGAGTCTGACAGAATGGAACCGCCGTCTCCATATGAGGCTGATTTTTGCTGCTGTAAGAATGACTGACTAAAAAGATGCATTATTCATCAAGAGCAGCTTTTAACATCCCTACATTTAGCACAACTTTTCCCACCACCAACACAACACACCCACATATAAAACGACAAATGGACTTGTACAAAAACTACTTCCCCCCCGAACAATAACAGCATCACACTGTAATATGGATATGCTGTTTGTCTTTGCAAAGTGTCTCATTAGAGGCATTTAAAAGCTGCAATCATGACTTGTTGAACCCATATTAAAGCACATTTTAGCTGTTAGATATTGACATAAGCCTAACCTGAGACAAGTAGATCTGACACAAGAAAATGAAACCATCAACACCTCAAAAAGTCATTTTAAAAAGTTAAATATTGTTACACAGTTTGTACCTGAATAAAGTGTCCAGAGCTTTAGTGAAGGGGCCAAAATAAACAAAACACTTAATGCTTGAGAGTGTAAGTTAATTAGGCTACTACTAACTAACATGGATTAGAATTAAATTATTAAATACTATAAGTTATATTATTTTCAGCATTGGGGATGGAAAAGAAAACATATCAGTATTTGCAGAACAAGCAGTGAGTATGGTCAGACAAAGAAGCAGAAATGTGAGCATATCCTGAAGCAGGCTACACCAGTCTGGTTCATGCCCTCTTGGGTCTTGTCACAAAGAAGATTAAATCCTGAATCCAAAAGGTAAACACCTCAGTGTGCAAGTCCTTCTTTGTCCAGCAGGGAGTGGTGCTGACACTCTCACCTACACCAAAGCTGCAAGTAGTGCTGTATTAAGCTCTCCGAGGTTACTGTAGGTCATAGCCCAGTCATAGCCCTGAAATGCTCTCATGCCACTGTCAGAGACCTGCGGTCACTCGCACTCAATTGACATGCTCAATTCAAGTAGCACTCACAAAACATCTACAGTACCTTTTTAGCGGTTACACAAGGCTAAAGAAAAGTCACAGGGGAGTGATTATTTTTGCAAGCTACGGATGGTGAATGCAATCACGAAAAGAATGCATCTATTAGCTATCATTCCAGTTCATCCATTCAGATAACAAAAATAATGAATTCAGCCAATGCAACACACTGAATATAAGTTTATGTATGTAGAGTGTTTTGAACAGTGTATAAGCAAATCAATGAAAATGAAATAAAACTAAACTGATAGTGAACTAGTAAAATATTTAGGACAAACTAAAGTACAAATTCAGTAAAGTACAGAGAGCTGTATCAGCTAGTTTTGGACGATCACAATTTTCTGTTGCAATGCAGTGCAGTTCTTCCATGCACTAGTATATTTTATTTAATATCCTGATAAAACAAGCATGAACTAAAACAGATATTTTTAATAACTGTGTGTGGTGGTGATGTGAAAACACTTTCAGCCTTTGGCTCTGTATTTCCATATAATGTTCGATATAAGGTTACAGTCTATAACCACATCTGGTCTACTTTATTTCCACATTTAATCTCTCTGTGTAATAATAAGATGATCCAGCAACTCAAGTGCATTACAGATTAAGCATGATCCTAACCTTATGAACTCCTGAATGAAAGGCTCCCAAAAGCCCCGTCTAACAAGCCACCCACGCAGCACACGCATAAACACCTAAATATAATGTTGATGCACTAATTATCTGAACCACAGCACTTCTCCAGTATGCCACAGTAAACCATGACAGCAAATCCAATCTGTTTACACAATTTTTGTCAAGAAACAGTACATCATTAACTGGATGTGTTCACAAAGTGGGAGCTGCCTGACATCTGATGACAGGGAACACCCCAGGTCAACACCCAGATTCCTCACATTCCCAAGATAAAGGGCTGTGTATGTGTGTGTGTCCAAATCCCTGTCCTGCTGCAACCAGCACACCAAACAAAACCGATAACTCCCTGCCTCAGTCAAAAAAAATAAATAAAAATAAAAAAACATGCTCCAAAATCGATCCTGAATACCTGAAATTTGTGAACAGTGCAGTAAAACAATGATTTCAGTGGGTGATTAGACAAGTCAAAAAAGAACCAAATATTCATCATGGCCTCAGAAATTAACATATTATGGCATAAAAATATGCGAATAAAAGCACATTTTTCAAAAATTTCCTGAGCATAAGAGGGACTGGATTCAGGCACAGTGAGCATCTACTACATTATTTATTAATCTATAATGCAGCTGACGTGCTTGGTGGTAGGCAAGAAAGAATAACATGAGAGTAAAGTTACTCCAAAAAATTACAGAAACATGCTGGCACTTTGTCTTTAATTGACACCATCCCTCTGCCCTTGTTGGAGTAACTTTACTCTTAAATGTGTTGCATATTTGTGGATCTCCTATTTATTTAAGAATAACTTTATTACAAGACAGTCTGTATGACAAACAAAACAAGATGTAAAAAAAAAAAAAAAAAGCCAATGAGAGGATCCAGAAAATCTCTGGTGCAGAAATAGAAGCATGTACTACTGACCTTGTGCAGCTCGATCGACTCAATCCATTGGAGTCTGTGCTCAGGATCCTGAGCTCTGAGGTACCAAACACTGTCATTCACACTGATGTCAAAACGACACTCGTCAAACTCATGAGGCTGTGCAGAAAGAAGAGAGGACTCATAAATTGATATTAGGCAAACACAAAAACTCACTGCAGCATTTTGCCCTAGTTCAATAAAATCACAGAAAATAATCCAGCTATAAACACCTCTACACATTGTGACACATTCAGGACACACATGGATCCAATCAGTCACTAAAAAAACCCTGCCATACAATAAAGAGAAATTTTAATTAGAAACGTATGTCTTATGTCTGCAGGGCAGGCACAACCCTTAACAACCACAGCAGAGCTGTGCAAATAAAACAAACTGATATTCTTCCAGCATGATTCTCGTGACCCTGGGTCACCATAACCGTTCCTCTTACTGTTGGGCCAAATCTTTCAACTATTTGACTCCCCAGTTCTACAATGCATCCCACCCAGCTCCAACCACTGGCCTACACCCAAACATGTGCATCAAAGAATCCCCCTGGTTTCCTCTCAGACTGGAATTTGAGCGCTGCACTCAGATGAGGAAAGATCCACTCTCCAAAGGTTCTTAATAAGAAATAGGACAGTGCTGACTTGAACCTCTTCCCTGTTCCTCTCCTACCTAGCACCACAGCTGCTCTGTCAGCTGACACAATCTCATGTCCAAATTTAATTAAATTTTCTAAATGACACTCATGCTGGTTAATATGCTGCCACTTGACAACAGCAACACACAGTCTGAACATGGACTGTCAGCCTGCATAACATTATGCACTGTCTTAACACTAACATTAGTGTTACATTTCACAAGCTGCATATGTCAGTGGTTTTCTCTGACCCTTAAATGCTTCCTATTACAATCACCAACTACCACAGAGAAAACATTTCGCCTCAGTGACAGGTGTGACATCAAAAATGCCCTCCAGTTTCAAAATGTCACTTTAATACAGGGCATGCAATGGTAACCTCTGTGCATCCAGCCATGGCATCATGCCTCCACCACTCCAGTCTATCTTGCCATGCTATATCAGACACGGCCCATAAACCTCTGCTTTACAATCCACTTTATACCTCTTTCATTCTGGCTGGAACATTCTCATTTCCCTTGTGTAAGCACTACTGTACATCCATGCTGCACTGGCTTTTTACCTTGTATACGACTGTGGCATCTTCAGTGTTGTCAATGAAACACACAAATGAGACATTTACGACAGGATTTTTTTGTGTGTGTGTGTCTGGGCATACACACTTGTATTTTACTTTGAATAATATTTGACACATAAATGACACAAAATACAGATATTTACTATTATTTATATGAGGCTGCTCTGTATAAAAATATAACTGGCAGGAAAACACTATTACAGAGAACTTTACTGATGTGAGATTTGGATAATGGGCCTTGGCCTATGACAGAAATACTTAGTAACATTTCCTGCATGTTTTGCTTCGATATGCGGGCAGTCTGCTGTGTATCTGCAGCTTCACAATGTGTAACAGAGTGATGTTAGACAAGAGGAGAAGCGGAGGCTTGTTTCTGCATTCCTGACTCCTCATACCACAGTCTCCTTAGAGAGTGCTGCCTTTAGATATTTAGAAAAAAGGAGAGGCAGTAAAAAGCAGCTCTGTGGGCCATAAAATGCTAATTATTAGTGAGCATGTGTAATAAAACTGTACACACTTAGTTAGCCTACTATAACACAATTATAAAACACTGAATGTTGTGTAGAGATCATTTAGGACTGCGCAAAAACACAGGAATGCTCACCAAAATGACCACTCTCTGTAGAGGAAACTAACTGCAACCTTTCGTGTGGTGGTTTTAATCCAGTTTTGAGTTGTATAATCCTATCACAAAAATCACAGTGAAACCATTTGTTTGGCCTCTGTACTTGGGGACTGTGTGCTCAGAGAGAACAGTGAATATTTAATCAGGGTGTGGGATTTTAGCTTATCTCATCCACAGGAGCCCTCCACAGGAAGAACAACACATGTCTACTCTCTAGAGCATGTGGACAAATCTTACATTTCAGTCATAGGGAACACCAGTTTTACCACGCCTGTGCAATAGCTGCAGTGAGAGAAGAGGTAGAAAAGTGTGCTCAAATGACTGTTGGAGCAAGAATGCCTTTGTCTGCTAACACAGAAGTCTCAATCCTATAAACAGCTTCATTACTACTACTTAATGTTTATCCTTCTATCTTTGGGGAACATGGATTGAAGGAAGAAAAGTTCAAGTGCATACTAATAGCAAGGAAAGAGGATTAAAACACAGACCTGCTAAAGAGGTAACCCTACTCCAAGAGCACTGATGCAGAAATGAAGCTTATATCATGAGCCCATCTTATGAGCCCTTACCCACTCAAATGGTGAACAGGTGCTGCTAGGCTGATCCTGCTGTGCATCAGACAGAAGAGTAACATTCCTTCTCAGGGCCATGCAAATACTCACTGTAATGACAGCCTTGCTGAGGCACAGAGATCCCCTGCAACCATACTCCCGTTCATCCTCCGATTTGTAGTAGCTTAATGTATTGTTTTTCAAAACAACCCATCGGTCTTGCCATCCGTGTATGTAATTTGTCCACTGTAAACAGACAAGTAGTGCATGAAAGTTAGCTTCATTGTGTAATCAACAGATCTTTGCTTTGATTTGATTTTGATTTGATTTATTCATTCAAGCATGTAAAACAGTTGATATGTCAACACGTGTAATTTCACACATATCCAACAATAATAATCCAATATCAATTTACTTATACCTAGTACATGCTTGAACGGAGTAGGAAGAAGTCAGACTTATCCAGTCCTACCCCATAACATCATTTTACAACTTTTAAGTCCTAAGCAATATCTCTGCATAGATAATTATCCTCTACACCACAAAAGTAATATACTACAGAATTATTACAAAGTGTTAACATTCTACATAATTACATTCATAGATAATTATCTTCTATGCCACACAAGTAATATACTAAAGAATTATTACAGAGTGTTAACATTCTTACCCCACACCCACAATGTTCCACCTAATTAATCATTGAGCCTGTTCTTGCATATATCTTGATTGACACATACCTTTATATTTATGTTTAAACTCATCAATTCTATTACTATTTTTTATGTCTACACTTAAATTATTCCATAGTTTTACCCCACTTATGGAAATACAAAATCTTTTTTTGGTTGTACGTATAGCATGAATTTTTAAATTTAACTGACCCCTTAGATTGTATCCCCCTTCCCTTTCATGAAATAACTTTTGAATTCCACCAGGTAATAAATTATTCCTGGCTTTATACATAAACACAGCAGTCCTATATCCCACTAAATCAAAAAATTTTAACAATTTAGACTGTATGAAAGCTGCATTGGTGTGATCCCTATACCCCATCTTATGCACAATTCTTATCGCTCTTTTTTGTAATATATACAATGGTCTTCTATATCAATTATGTATTTGATGGGTTTAATTCAAATGTTGCAGCTCGCTAGTAATGCTCACATGGTTTCCAGACTAGTAGACGCCTAACCTATTCCTGTAGCACAAAACACTAAGATCCAAAGTTATTATCCTAACGTTACCTTGCTTAAAATGCCTCCGAGCTCCACAGGCTGACCGGATTCTGGGTCCACATCCTCATCCGAACCGGACGATGAACTCTTTTCGGACATTTAAATTCAAGCCTCAAAGAAAACTTAGATTTAATTTTATTGACAGAAATACGTAGTTTAATTAAGGCTAGCTCCTGGATTAGTTATCAGGTCGTCTCAATCAACCCTGCTGACAGCTTCTTTAACAGCGAAATTCCATTAACTGGGCGTATAAAACATTATCTAGATAGCGTGATTTATCATAGGTCGTTTGACGGACTTCAACCTGGCTAGCTTTTTGCTAGCAAGATAATGTGCAGATGACAGCTGAGTCTTAACTTCTCGGTTTTGCGGGCTTTGTTTTGAAACTGACGTCGAATACGAATGAGACTAGCTAGTTAGCGTTAGCTGTCAAACTACGCAACTAGCTAACATCTACTTAACTAGCAACTCGTCACTGTTCTCGTTAGCTAACTTCGCTGCCGTTGCTAAGCTGCTCAAAAGAGTGATCGATCAGAAAGGCCTTCGCGTTAACACTGTACCCCAACTTGAATCAACAAATGACGAGCAATGACTAGCCTGTCTCCATTCAAATCGGGGGAGGAGCTCCAGCCACGCTTTACTGTGTACCACCAAGTTCGGAGTCAAGCTCATGCAATCACAGTTACAACGGAGGTTAAGTACGTTTTCCTTCAAAGTAAAAGCATTTCTTGTCATATCAGAACTGCAGTGCAACAGAAATCGTAGCAAAATTAGTTTCACAGTGGGGGTCATATTATTTTAATGAGCCAAATTACTCCGTAAATACACATACTTGAAGCTATTTTGTGTTTGAGAACTATGCACCATTTACGTACACGAGTTTGTTGTGCACTTTGAAAAATACAATTTCGGAAAAAAAATATTTTGACTAACTTCACTAGAATTTTACAAACGGTTCAATTGTAAATATTTGTAGTTAAAATTAATTACATTATGATTACATTTCACTGTACTGTTTTGTATATTTATTTTGTAGACCACTTTCTTGGAGTATTCTATGTACTGTTACTGATTATGCATCAGTGTAAGTTTCATAAGGCCCACTTTACACCAGAAGAAATAACCACTAATTTCAATTAAGCTATTACGTCAAAAAGTAAACTCGCTGAAGGTACAATAAAATAGTCATCATAATTATCTGCAGATTTAAACTTGTTATGTTAGATGTATTTTTGTTTCAAATGACTTCCTTAAAATAAACTTGTTTTAAGCAGTGCTTGTAACTACGTGGGGTTGCTGTAATATAACTGGACACAATTTTACACCAGTTTTTGGGCCTAAAATTCCGGGGAGACACTTCATATTAATAACTGAATTTTTGCATGTTGGTTTATGTAACAACAACAATAACAACAATATTATTATTAGTATTGCACTAGGCAAAAGATAATCTTGTAGGGCGTCTTTTAATGGCGCAATAATGCACATGTGATACAAAATGTTTGTAAATGTTAAATTCAGCAGTGGTAAACAAAACAAGCCATTTCCGGTAATGCGAAATGAATGCGGAAATGCTGGTTTCAAAACATGAAGTGGTATGAACGTTAGACAGCGGAGCGGTTTTGTTTCAGTGTAATACCAGTTCAGAATGAAAAGGCAAGTTTATAAATTACTGGTTATTATTGGTTATTTGATCTAGCTCCAAAAGTCGCCCATTAACTGCGATACATATAATCTACTAACTTTCGATCCGATTTGAGCTCGTTATAAATTGGAGGACACTGCCAAAGATAAAGTACTGTTTCCCATCAAGGGTCCATTTTTCAAGATGGAAAATGGGGTTGCACCCACTAAAGGAGAAGGCTTCCTCTCCAGAATGGCCCTCAATGACAACAAGGCTGGTATGGAAGGTCTTGACAGGGACAAGATCAACAAGATCATCATGGAGTCATCCAAGGTAAATAGTAATCTACAGTATACTCATAGTCATAGTTTTATGCCAGGATGATGTGGATGACTGTGTAACCAGCAAGAATATAAACAAAGGAATATATAGAAAAGTACAAATTAGGCTATAGCATGCTGTGAGCAATACAACATGTGAGGTCCACTTTTACCGATCGTGTCTAGCCTTATATGAAAGTCTCTTCCCCAGTGTAAAGTCATCCATCTCTATGAAACTGATGTGCTACAGAATCAGTAACTCTTCACTGGCCTTGCCCTTCCCCTGCAGGGATCTAGGTTTTATGAGAATGAAATGAAGAGAGAGCAGCAGGTGAACCAGCGCATTGAGAAAATGATGCTACAAAAGGCACAGATCACAGAGCAACAGATAATGAAAGCCCAAGCTCAGGTATGATATGTTATGGACTTTTACAGATTAACCAAAAACACATGTAGACAAATATGTTGTGCTGTCAAATGACAAAGCTACATTTCAAACACCATTCTAAGTTTGCTAGCTATGTGTTTTTTATTAAATCTCTTTTTTTAGGTGGAGAGAGTGGCCTCAGAGCTGGAGAGGAGTCGTGATCTAAGCCGAGTAATTGTACATGTGGACATGGATGCTTTTTACGCTGCTGTGGAAATGAGAGACTGTCCTGAGCTGAAGGACAAGCCCATGGCTGTAGGATCCATGAGCATGTTGGTGAGTAAAACTATCATCTGGCAAACAGAAATATGTCATTTCGTACATAACTGATGGATTTGTTAGTTGTTTAGGTGCATCAGATACTTTAAACCAATTAAGCCAGGGTAGAAATAGCAACAGAAAAATCAATGTGTGTTAAGTTACTGGTCACACAGTACATTTCATGATACCGTTCATTACAAACCTTTTACTTACAACTTTGCACATTATCAAAATTAACAGTAAGTTAAGTTTAAAATATTCATCACACAGCACATCATTATAAATCTTGCTCACAGTACTACAATAGTGATACTATGTTTTTTCAAATTCTTATGTAGGACTAAGTCTTTGTATGCATAAAATAATAAATACTTTTAATTATAAATGTATTGCCTTGTTGTGATATTAGTGACTATAGATAGTTAGATCAATGCCAACATTATATGAATGGTTTCAAAATAAATGTAATATTCTAACAAGTGATTTGAGACTGATTGCCTCCCATATATAAAAGTATTTTATTTATATCTCACCTTTTCTTTTTCAGTCAACGTCTAACTACCATGCCAGGAAGTATGGCGTCCGAGCTGCCATGCCTGGCTTCATTGCAAAGAAACTCTGTCCCAACTTAGTCATTGTTCCACCTAACTTTGATAAATACAGAGCTGTGAGTAATGAGGTAAGAGTGACGGCAAAACACCCAGGCACACACACAAAGAGATAAATCTAGACACTTACTTTCAAACAAATGTCATGGAGCCATTTTGTTATTTTTTTTTCTTAAACTAACAGGTGCTCATACATCTGTATCTCTCTGTTAGATCCGAGAGATTTTTGCAGACTATGACCCTCACTTTCAGCCAGTGAGCCTGGATGAGGCCTATCTGGATTTTACAGACCACCTGGAACAGAGGCAGAGCTGGCCAGAGTCCTGTCGTACACATCACTTCCGCGCCAGCAGCACTGCCCCAGGCAGGACTTAATTATTTGGAAATGTTGAATGATTATATGGTGTGGTGTGTTATTGTTTGTTTTACTGTAACTGTAGATTTTACTCTATTTACTGTACACATGACAGGAAACATTTTTATTATAATGATGAATTGCTAAAGTTCATATATTAGAAATACATTTGATTATAGTGTGAAATATTTTAATTTCTGTAAAGGTGTACAGCAGGTTGAGCTTCCCCAGGAGGCAGTGCCAGACCTCTCTCCAGTCCTGTTTGAGGACAGCCCGAGCTCCTCTCCCTGCTTGCAGGGTTCTGAAGCTATTGGTACTGCCGTTTTCGAGGTGTTTGGGACATCTATTGAGGAGGCTGTAAGAGAGATGCGCTTCCGCATTGAGCAGAGGACCATGCTGACTGCTAGTGCAGGTGAGGGGAATCTTATTGTCTCTCAGTGTAATTATATCATCTTCCCTCTCCCTCACCACTTCTGTACTTTCTTAATAAAAACTACATTTTAAAAATATATACAGCAGGCAACTCCTTTTAAACTGTATTTCATTCCTCATGATAACAACAGTGTGCAACTATAATAACAAAAATTCAGCAAAGTTTATCCTGCACATTCTGTTTAGAATTATGATCAACATTACATGTTCCACCAGATGTCCATATACAAATACACTATTCAGTTACACTATTCACTCTTCTAGGAATTGCTCCAAACACAATGCTTGCCAAGGTGTGCAGTGACAAGAACAAGCCCAATGGCCAATACAGACTCCCCTCCACCAGAGAGTCAGTCATGGACTTCATCCAGAATCTTCCAGTTCGCAAAGTACAGTACATATGGCTTAAATGAAAACATAAGCAGCGTATTGTGGTGTTGCTGTTAAACAGTTATGGAAAGATGTTAGAATGTAATCATGAAGGCTTTTTTTAATATATATATATATAATTAAAGGCCATTCAATGTGATGTAAAGTGACTAATGAAGTGCTGCACACAGGAAAAAGATGGTTGAACAAAAGACTATATCAATATTTAAAGACCTTAAAATGTATTCTTCCAGATTTCTGGTGTAGGAAAGGTGAGTGAGAAGATGCTGAATGCTTTGGGCATCAGTAGCTGTTGTCATCTTGGCCAGCAGATGGCACTGCTCTCATTGCTGTTCTCGGAGACAGCCTGGCATAATTTCCTACAGATTTCCTTGGGGCTAGGCTCCACATATATACACAGGTATTGTGTGCGTGTTTAACTAATAAAACTCAAAGTCCAGTCTAGAAGAAGGAGATAATACTCATTGTCTTTGCTTTCATACAGACATGAAGAAAGAAAAAGCATGAGCACAGAAAGGTTTGTTTATAATGAGGAAAACATAAACTGACATGGTTAAAATTATTTGTTTTAGTGGTAGCTCTTTCTTATCGTCTCTTTGTCTCACTCTTTTCTGTCATTTATACATATTTACAGGACATTTAAAGAACTGACTAAAGCTGAGGAACAGTTATCATTATGCAGGATGCTCTGTGAAGATTTAGCAGAAGACATGAAGAAGGAAGGTCTGAAGGTACTTGAATGCGGGTTGCTTTGTTAATATTAACATACCTCTGTGCATATCTTCTTAACAAGTAGGTGGTTTTTAACACATCTTTGGTTAGCACTGGGAATATTTGAACAGAAATGGACAACATTACATGAATATACTGTGAGAATATATTGATTAAAAAATGGAAACACCATCCTATTCTTGGCCCTCCTAGAATCACTCCACCTCCAAATCGGGGGCATATATATTTACCTCGCCCTGTTCATTGCTTTTTTGAATCGATAGCAAAAAGACTGGATGGCTTGGCACGGCCATCACCCCCCTGCCTGCGTTCTGATGGGGCCTTGATAGCTGGAGGAAATGGAGGGTCATTAAGGCAACAGCAGGGGCTACTATCAGCCTTGGAAATGTCTTCCTGGGAGATGATCATATTGCTATGAGACCGTTTTGTGGCATTACTCACAAAATGCATTCTGACAAATCAATCAGTGAGAAAACGGAGTATTCAAATTTTGATTTTATTTTTGTTTATGCCCTCTTCTATACAGTACCATTGATCATGTCAGCAATTATTAGGTTGTTGGAAAGCAGACAGAAATGACCTTCCTCTTTTTCCTAATATTTGTGTGTATTTTCTTCATTTTTGTGAAGGGGAAAACAGTAACGCTGAAGATTAAGAACGTGAACTTTGAGGTGAAAACCAGGGCACTGACGCTGCCGTATGCTGTTGCAGCCGCGGATGATATCTTTGCTGTTGCTAAGGACCTATTGAAAATGGAAATAGAAAATGAATGCCCCCAGCCACTCAGACTGAGGCTCATGGGTAATTAGATATACCAATATAAATAACATATCAATTAATTTAACTAGCTTGAAATAAGTATAAATGATCTGTGGCACACTGCATGTGGAAATAATGACACAGTTGCTGTTCATTTTGAAACTTTTCTATAGAGAATCTGTTTTTGTGCTTGTAGGCGTTAGAATCTCTGCCTTTGCCAGTTCGGATGATAAAAAGCCCCTGCAAAAGAGCATCATCGGCTTTCTTCAGCAAGGCAAGACAGACTCAGGCGGTTCTACCCAAGGAATGCATAAAAAGCTTGAGAAAGAGCATCTCTCCAATCACTCCATCCAGGTCTGGCCCTTCACTTGTCCTGCCTCAACGCAGAAGTCCCGGAAACATGAGGAGGTTCCCTGGCGGAGTAAGCACAGGGGGTTAGAGGGAGGCCAGACTGATGAGGAACCCCAACAGTCTTTCTTCCAAAGGGCCTATGCCAAAAGGCTGAAACTCCAGGCTGCAAATTCAAGCACACAAGAGGAAGGACATGGGGAGAATTGTTCTGTTATTTCCATAGACACTCATGCTCAAAACTGTGTAGAGTCACCAGTAAAAACACACAAGGGTGTAGCCTCAGATCTCTCAGTAAATAGCATCATTTCTCCTACACAGGCGTGTGCATCTACATCAGGATGTGGTGGCCCGCTGTCAGAGAACTTCATCTGTCCGGTGTGTTTCAGGCAGATTGAGACGACTGATTTAAATGTCTTCAACAGACATATAGATCAGTGTCTCAGTGAGGCCACTAGAAAGCCAAACAAAGACACAGATCCTGACTCAGAGTCAGATTTGGACTTAGAAATTGACCATAAAAGACGTGAGGTGGTGAAAATATGGAGGGGGGAGTGTGCGGTTGAAGAGACAAAGACAAAGAACAGTGGAGAAATGGAGTCCATCAGAACTGATCCTCAGGAAGCCCAGTGCAGCATGAAAAATGATTCTAGTCGAACAGTTTTGTTGCTCAATGGGGACAACAAAACACCACAGCAGCCTGAATCATGCTATTATAAAGGTCTTGTCCTCATCTGCCCAGTATGTCAGCGGACCCAGGACACTGATGACCTCGCTGTCTTCAATCACCATGTCGACCTCTGCCTGAACCAGGACGTCCTACATATCCTTGGGGGAGAGACCTCATCTATGAAAAATCTACCTGTTACAGAGAGCAAGGCCGTAGGTGAGTGTGTGCATTAAATGAGGTTGTTCGACACTTTGTCACTTATAGCAGGAACCTCATAATCATTAATTCAGCATTTTGTCCCTTGTGTGCTTTGGGGTTGCAGGTGACAGATACAGTCCTGTTGGTAATGTCTATACTAAGCTGTAGCTGGATTAAACTTGATTTAACTGAAGAACTATTTGTTTTGGAAGGTGTCAGTGCCCTGTGACCTACTGACAATGTCACTGTGTTAGAAGTTTGTATCAATTCCTACAGGGAAAAAAAAGACATCTCAGAAAGACATTTCACTCCAGGGGGCTCTCTTTGCCCTGGTTTTGAAAATGGCTGAATCACTTTCTCACCTATTCATTTCCTACATTGATCTGCACCCCGGTTTCCCCTTAAACAAACTTGCCTGAGAAATTGCACTATTTATATCTCTGAGGAGGTGCTGTAATTGTGTACCACCTCAGTGGATGTGTTTGTTTTATTTTGTCAGAGAAGGGGAAACTGGATTTTTATTTTCCTATTTATGTACATGAGTGTCCGTTTCTCTTTGTAGACAGAGGCCATCTCCCGCCAAGGCAAACAAGCAAAGGCAAAAGCAAAGGGTGAGACTCTTTCCTCCACAAAGTGTTGATGTATTGTCTGCAGACCATGCCACTGTAGGTACAGTAATGTGAAGTTACAACCATGTCAACAAGAAATGTTTTAATCAGTAAAATGTTTTTCTGTGTGGGTTTATTTTCTGACTTTTAGACGCGACTCACCTTCCTCTCCTCATTCAAAGAGGGCTAAACCCCTTGGTCCTCGCAACACCATTGACAAGTTCTTCAGGTGACAGTCCTGCACAAATCCTCATCTGAAGGACCTGGGAAAGTTTTCTACAGGAAATGAAAACCCACTCTCACCAGTCTTGGTTCCATGGACAGGGGTTTGCTGTGATACACACTCAGCTCAAATTGTTGCTACAATCATTGCATATGAAGCCATAGTGAGTTCAGAATTCTGTCAAAAGAAGCCAAGTATTTGCACTTAATTGCTTTTTATTAACCATACACTACACATAAATGAAAGATGACAAAGGCAAATGCTTTTATAGTGATTTTTCTAATAATGTCATCTGTCAGTGCCAGTTTCATTGTCTATTTTCTGTTGTTTAATGAAGACAAGCCTAATGTTTCTATTTAAATGTATGATAAATAAATCAAGAAGGTATTTATTACATGCTAATGTCCTAGTGTTTTAAAATGTCTTAGTTATTATTCAGATATTTTCGTAAATTCCTGTTGCATTTAATGTGCTTTTCAGTGATAATACTCTATATGCCTAATTGTGTATATGAGAGAATCCTATTGTGTAAAGTGAAGTTGCAATAAATAACTATTCAGTTGAAATTTCCACTTTAGGTAATGACGTTCCTTACAGAGCCTTATGTTGATTTTTTGTAAACACTGCACTGTGTTCATAGCTTCTAAAGATAAAGGTATAATATCCTTGTGTTCCTCAAGGCGTGATAAATACATGAGGCTATACCCATGCAGTCACTTGCTAGTCATGTTAACCGGTTGTGTTTCATGTTAAACGTACTGTTTCTATCTGCAGGCCTCTCAAAGGTGTGAGCTGGTAAAGTAAACATGGATTAGCCTTCCAGCATTAAATAAAGAGTAGGCGTACACTTCAAGAATTACTGTTTACTCTTTGATGACAGGAACTAAATCAAACTGGGCAGTTGAGTTGTTTCCATCTTGTGTTCTATTACCACAGCAGTTTGGTTTGCTTTTAGTGCATAATTAGGCTGTATTATTTTTATTGAACCAAGCCTACTTTTAGTACACAAACAGATCATTTAAAGTTCCTCTCAATGAAGAGACAAGCATTGGCTTTGAAGACGAAGCTCAGCAACTTTAAGAAGGAAGATTTCGATCCTCACAAGTGGTTGAAAAACGAGAAAATGAGCGCGTTTTCTGACTTTGTACTCAACAAGCAGCCGGAGAAAGAGGAAGACAAGAGCTTTGATAACAAAGAAATGTGTAAGTACAGAAAGGCAACAAAATCTGAAAGGGGAGAAAAGACAAATAGCCTGTGACTTTGCTTAAAAAATCATAGAACATTATAGAGCAAATTTTTCTCTTTAGAACCGAACCCTTGAGTTAACACTTAAAGATGGAGTTAATCATTAGTTCTTCTTTGTGGTAGACTGACAATATATATTTGCACAAGGCTGAAGCCTTGTTGATATACTCCACTGCGCATAAAATGGATACACACTCATCGCAGTTTAACTTACAATACAGTATGATCCTGTTGAAGTTTGACTCAAATGTAATTGTAAATGCCTCACACATCTGGTTGATTTTTAAGCCTAGTAAAGTTATTATATATTAAAGAATATACCATATATATATAAAGGTTAACTGGATGGACCTCATTAAAAATTAGATATAGAATCTCTTTATTTTTAAAGCTATCCTTAAAAAGCTTCCTGAGTACAGTGATGAAATGTTTTCTCTTGCTTTCAGTGGATATCAGACCAGACCATCCAGATGGATTACCTACATTATACCTAGAGTGTGCTCTGAGTTTAGAAAAACTGCATTTGCATTTTATACACATTGGCCTTGCAAAAATCTACAAGTGAACCTTCAATTGAAAATATTACCCCATATAAGAAATTCAAATGTCTTGTTCAAGAAATAACTTTAGAAGGAATGTAAATGTAACTGCTTTAAATGATTAGGCCCTATTCCTATATTTCACAGACCATATTTTATTGTGTATTGTGTGACTTATATGTAGGGTGCATGTTATTACTTGACTATGTTGCCATTTTGGCCAGGTCTCACTTGCAAAAGACATCATGTATCTCAGCAGACCTCACGGTTAAATAAAAAACTATATATGTAAATAGCCATATGTAAAACCTTCCTGCCTGCTGTGTTGTGTAGTGCTCGATGCAGAAAAGCAGTTTATAGAAGCAGCCAAGAGGAATGATGTGGAGGCTATGAAAACTCTGGGAAAAGGACTTAACGCCAATGCAAAGAATGTGGTAGGTCTACAAACACTATCTGCATCTCATTATACTGCTTGTATATTATCACATAAACAGGCTGATTAATTCTGGGAGTTTGGAGAAACCCTTATTTAGTGGATAAAATACAGGTTACATATTTATTTATTTTAGCACGATAGGACTGCTCTTCACTATGCGGTAGCCGGCAAAAACTCCGGGGCTGTGCAGTTTCTTCTGCAGCGCAGGGTCAAAGTGGATCAAAAGGACAAGGTGAGAGTATTTGGAATGTCTGCATGTGAAGATCTGAGCAACAGACAATTGCTTATGTAATGTATTTTAAAGAATCACTAATTCCAATTTTGTGCTCTGTGTCTGGCAGTATGGTGTGGCACCCGTTCATTTGGCTGCCTGGTTTGGCAATGTGGAGATTATGAAGTTATTAGTGCAGGCTGGGGCTGAAAGCAAGGTTGAGAATGAGGTAAAGACATGAAATTTAGTTTCTCAGTAACTGACGGAGGAAAAATACTCAGAAAATGGGCACTTTGTTTTTTATTTTGTGCAACATTTTTCTTGTTGTTGTATAGCCTTTTGTTTCCTATTACAAATCATGCTATATTTCATTGACAAAACCAGATATTTAAAGTGTGCACCTCTTGATTAGTAAAAAAATTATAACTAAATGTTTTTCTACCTCAGGAAGGACTAAACATTATGCACTGTGCTGCTATCAACAACCACCCTGAAATTATAGAGCATATTATTAATGACCTGCAGATGCCAGAACTAGACAAAGAAGACACGGTATTTACCTGATACAAATTTTTCATACTGCACATATATTATTCAATTTCTGGGCAAATGATTTTGCACAGTACATGCAGTATATATGGTTGTTTGTACCTCAACTCTTATATTTTTAGTCAGGGAACCGGCCATTTGCATTGGCTGCAGAGCATGGGCATGTTGAAATGTTACAGATGCTGATGGATCCATACCAAATGGCCACCATGGTGCCCAACAAGGTGTGTGTGCACATGCGTGTTTTTGGTGCATCTATTTATAGCTAATGGCCTTTTTATTCTCACGTTTGAGCACACATTACTATGTCACACCTGAAAAGTTGAGCAATCTTTGATGCAAGCTGTTTCCTGCCCTTCCTCCTGCCAGAGAGGAGACACGCCCCTGCACTTAGCTGCCAGGAAGGGCCACTTGGGCGCTGTTCAACTGCTGCTGCAGAGCTTTGATACTCGGGATGAAGTCAATATGGTAGACAATCAGTGTAAACATCCTCCCTAACAGTGTGCACAGAGGCTAATCCACTGCTGGATGGTGGCTCCACTTTGGATCAATTAAATGTATCAAACTGGTTTCTATTGTGTAACATGGTAAACTGTGCTCTGGCTTGCATTTCAACTCTGACAGGTAAATTGCAGATGAAAAGATTAGAGCTTCTGTCCAAAGACACAAAGGCTAGTGTAGGAACATAATTTGAATTACAATGTCACACATAACCAATTACTAAATAAGTGAACATGCTCTAAACACTCCCAATATAAATAGCATAGACCAGTTTCACCGTGTTGTTCACCATTAATTTACTTATTCTCATCCAAGTTCCTTCAGTGTAAAAAGGTTGATTTCTGAATTCTAGTTGGTTATAGGTCATAAAAAGTTATATTTTAAGAGAACACTGAGTCATTTTAAAATGTGGTTCCACTGAGAAGAATGTTCTACTCACATTGTACATTTCCAGGATCGATACTATATTTTATTGACAAATCTGTGTTGCAGGATGGTGAAACAGCTCTGTACCAGGCTGCAGAAAACGGACAGGAAGCATGTGTCCTGGCCCTGCTGGAGGCCGGTTGTGACCCCGACATACTGACAACGGTATAATAAGGAACTATACTGACCCAAATATTTAAATCCCTGCTTTAGCATCCTGCTGTTAGTGATCCTCTACCATAACATGTGTTTGAGCAAAAAAAATTATTTTGTAAACACAAATCTACACATCTGAACACCCTCTCTTGTAGGCCAAAGGCAGTGCTCTCCATCCAGTTTCAGAAAAAGGAGATGCATCTCTTGTCCATCTCCTCTTAGAGTACAAAGCCAATGCAGACTTTCAGAATCAGGTAAGCAAACACAAGCTAGGTGGCAGTAATACACTGTTTCAGTGACATTCTCTGATAACACACACACCAGCTGTGCTGCTGCTGCTGCTGTGCTACCTGGATGCATATCACTATAATTTTACATATTTTTTCCTGTTCACTTTCTGGACTCATTGTGTAACATGACATTTCTGCTCTCAGCACCTAGAGGCTCCTCTCCACCTGGCAGTGAAGAACAGTCACATCCCTGTCATCCATTCTCTACTGCAGGCTGGCTGCAACATTAATATCACTGATAAGGTATGATTACCCTAGTAACACAGTAAAACAAGATGTCATCAAAGATATATAAACACATTAAACTAAGAAAATATGTGCTACATTGAACCGTGCTGTCCCATGCTATGAACTCAGAGAGGCCAGACGGCTATACATCTTGCTGCAGAGTTGGCCAGAATTGAAGTTGTAGAAATGCTTCTCAAAACCGGGCTGGATCTGACACTGCAGGATAGGGTAAGAATTTCAACACCATGTAAGGTAAACTGAGCTCTTATACACGTGCACACTTGTTTTCAAGACAAAGCAGCAAAATACATTTAAAATGTAAGAATCTAATCCTATATCAAACACATTACAGTTCTGACATTTGTGTATTTTGTTGTACACGTTGGATTTGGAGCAGCAGGGTAAGACGGCTCTGGGTGTGGCAGCTAGAGCAAATGAGGTGATTATTGTTGACATGATCATCAAAGCAGAAAGATACTACACCTGGAAGAAGGTGAGAGATACTGAGAAGATACTTGTACTTTTACTGCTTTTGCATGTGCCATAATCTATTCTTAAAATCAATTCATCACAAATGATTCATTTCCAAATGTCACATTCTCTATTAGTTGAATCCTCTGTAATACTATTAAATGATCCACAGAAAAAAAAATGCCTCACAACCCAGGAATATTTGACAGCAATTTACCCTGAATTTAATTAAGGATATGCCTGATTTCCCAGAGTTCTTGATTTTCAAAACGTTTAACTCTGGTATTCATATTGATAATTGTGTGTGAGTGCCTTTCCAATAATCTCTTGCCATTCCCCTGTGCCTCTAAGGCTTGTGGCCAACATCAATCTGCTGACATGATCTAATTGCCCTTTCAGGCCAACCCTGAGCTTGATGAGAGGGTTCGCAGTGAGTATCCACTAACGTTCAAACTCGACCACCGCCAAGAGACCAGCGAGCTTCGTTCGATAGCCTGGCGCCTGGCATACAAGTTCCTGAGACCAAAAGACTGGAAACAAATGGCAGAACACTGGTCGTTCACTACAGAGCAAGTGTCTGCCATCGAGGAGCAGTGGATAGGTGCCACAACTCACTCACTGGACAATCTTGTACATTTGGCAACTCTTAAATTCTATACCATAAGTCTCTTATAGCCAAAAGTTACTGATGCAAATCACTGAACATATAATACATTAATATTTGGCCAGGTTTTAATAAATGTTGCCTATAACAAGTATGTCCTCATTGTATGTATGATCTCATTCAAACTGACTTGCTATATTATTTTTTCAAATGCATCTTCTGGTGCACAGAGACAACCTTTATGTTATTTTTACTAGTTGAATTGTTTTCCTGACTGTACTGTGCTGTGTGTCGGCCCCAGGTCAGAACAGCTACCAAGAGCATGGGAACAGGATGCTGCTGATCTGGCTCCACGGTGAGGAGCTGGCTCAGAGGAATCCTGCTAAAGAACTCTACAAGGGCCTCACTGTCATAGGAAACAGGAAAGCTGCAGGTAGCTTCAGTTAACACCTTTTTTCTACACACATATACTGAACACGTAGCGGTGATGCCTGGAGATGTTTGCCAAAAACTGATTACAGAAAATGTTGCTTTGTCTCACAGATATGATTCAGATGGGGGCAGAGAATGTCGGCGTGGGCTGTGGCATGTCATGAGGAACACTAAAGCATATGGACTGACAAAGTTAACTCCATGTTTACTTCATTTTCAACTACTGATCTGTACAGTCTGTTAACAGTGAAATAATTTATTTTATAAATAAAAGTGTACATCATTTGATTAACTTGAGGCTTTTTTTTA